ACAAAAAAATGAACAAAATGAAAAATTATGATTGGTTGAATGCGGTTTGCACGGTTTGTACAAATTGAGTGGTTTGCATTTGATCGCTCCCCTATATATATATATATATATATATATATATATATATATATTAAAATTTCACTAATTAAATTTTATTAACTTTTTCGAATTATTTGAATACTATTCATTGATAATTCTATTAACAACTAACATATATTTATATAGACAATTTTCGTATCATTAATCAAAGTATTCACGCTATGGTGCAATCACGCGATTCCACACTAGTTCATATAAAGATAATGTCTGCATACATCTTACCTCCCGACTCCATTTTCAGATAGGATTATACACACCGTTTCCGTTTGCTTTTGTTCTTAATGTCAAAGAAACAAAACATAAAAACAACAAAAATAGAAATATCAATATTAGAAAACATGTTCAAAGAACATAAAAATACAAATATGGAAACCCCGCCCTTATAACTTTCGTAATAGTGATCAAATTGTCAAAACCATCGTTGTTCGCTTATATAATTACAAATACATAAACACACACCAGTTGTCTCTTTCTGGTAACGTCACTGTCCACATCACTATCTGCATAGACTTTCTTCCAAGTCTTTTTCCCCATTTTTCTCCTCACATTCTTCAGTCATCTAAAGTCTCCCTCCATTCTCTATTGTTTTCTCCTATCGATCAATCTTTCCACCATCTCTCCTTTTTTTTTAAACAAACCCTTTTGTGTTTTCATCGATTCAGAGACATGAATACCCAAGATCACAGCAAAACAGGTTTTGTTTGTTCGTAAATTGATAATAAGATTCAATTGCTTATTTGGAGTTAAATTGACATTATGAAAACAATCACATTCATGGCGGTTTTTTGTTCTTATTTCGGTTTCTTTTGTGGGGTTTTCTCATTTTCTTGATTTTGCAGGGGATGAGGGTCATGGACCGCATATATGTCACAGATGTGGATGGCCTTTTCCAAACTCACACCCCAGTCCTAAACACAGACGAGCCCACAAGAGAATTTGTGGAACCATTGAAGGGTATACAAAGCTTATTGAATCAGAAGCAATTTCAGATGATGAACATCATTCTGATGAAGATAAAGATAAAGATAAAACCCCAAGTGAGTTTTATGTGCTGACGTGTTTCTTGATTCTTTTTGGGGGGGTTTATGTTAGATTTCATGTTTATCTTCATCTTTAAAGATTTCTTGTAACTTATATGGGGTTTCCTTAATATATTGAAGACGCTATAAGAACTAGAAGTTAAATTTACGTTCATGCTTATTATCTTTCAAGTTTTCTTGTATCTTATTTGGGGTCTATCAATCTGGTGAAGATGCTAGAAACCTCAAGTGAAGTTTTTATTTATAGTTGTTATCTTGAAGATTTCTTGCATTAATCTTCTGAAGATACTTAAAGAACCTCACATGAAATTTTATGAGTTGTTATCTTTAAGATTCTTTGCATCTTATTTGGGTTTATTGATCTTTTTTTATATAATGTAAGAACTTCAAGTTAAATTCATGTTACATTGTTGTTATCTTGTAAGATGTCTTCCGTCTTATTTGGATTTTCATTCATCTTATTTGGGTTTATTGATCTTCTGTTTTTGAGGTCCCAAGATTGAGAAGGGGATCATCAAAGAGAGTGGCAACAGTGCTGGTGGGACTGAAGATGATTCGTTTTCAGATGCGATGACAGAATTTTCAGATAGTGGAATCAGCCCAGGTGCAGAACTTTCAGATGATTCGACTTCTAGGCTGTTTGTTTGATGTGTTTGTAGAATAGATTAACAACTACTTTGATGAACTATTTTGATACCCTTTATTGCATACTATATGCTTTCTAGTTCCTATTTCCTAATTCGAGCTCCATTTTCTCAATTTGTAGTTGCTACCAAACTGTTAGACAGTCCAATAGAGGTTAGTAAAGCGGATGACAATCTTGAAGTTTTTAAAACCCCAGATACCCATACAAAAGATGCAGATGAAACTGAAGAAAATGATATAAATACTGTGTGCAATTCAGTCGACACACAAATCAAATTACTAGATTCTGACATGAAACCTTCAGATCCTTTGATCGAAGATAGAGATGGGTCCTGTAAGGATAAACTTATGGATCTCGTGGAGATTTCTAATACTGTCGAGATGAAACCAGATTCTGCAAATGCCATGGATGTTAGTAGTAAAAATGTCGTTATTTTTGAGGTATCTGATAAGGATCAAGAGGAACCAGTTGTATATGTACTCTCTGTTCCAAGTGATATACCTCTAGTAGATCACTCCGAGACTTTGATTGATGATTTTAAAGATCATGAAACTATTTACTCTAACGTTCCTATGGTTCTAGACCATGATACTTTCGAAGTCAAAACAGAGGAACACAAGATTCAAGAAAGTCAAGCCTCAGAAACTGGGGAGTTTTCCATCGATGAGTCTATTGTTTCTGAACACCCAAATACAGGCTCCATTCTTGTTCCTACAGATGTTACTGAAGAAGTTAAAGAGTCAGAAACTAAACCTTTGGAGATGAGCAAGACTGTCCCTGAAGCAAAAGTTTCTCTTGGTGAAAGGACAGAAACAGCTAGTAAAGAAATCAATCAGGAAAAGCTTGAATTTGATCATGAACATGCTCCAGAAGTGGTCAAAAATACTGAAATTGATCATGGTGATCCAGTTTTGACTGAAGAAGATCCGGCTTCAGAAAGACCATCAGAAGCATACACTCAGGAATTTGTCAAAGAACCCGAAAGTGGTTTTGAAGCCGAGCAAAAGATAATGGGAAGTGTGGGTGTTGATTCAAAAGAGAGTGGCAACCTTGGAATTTCACAAAGATCGGAAAAACTTATGCCGGAAAAAGAAGAACAATGGCCTACTGCTTCTGGGATTGTTTCTGGAACTCTGGTAGATGAAGATGATGGCAAGCTGATGACCAATCAAGATTCTGTTGTAGATGCATCAGTTGGCTCGAGTAGTCGCAATAGCTTGGAGGGCAATTGGGGATCAGTTTCAGGTACATTTTCCGAACGAAAACATAAATTAAATAAATATATATTAAATGAAGTAATTATGCGTCTTCACGTGATTGGTGGGAAGGTACAATGGGATTTGGGGACATGAGATCGCTATTCACATTTTCCATGTCTCTCCGTCTCTTCTTTCTTTAACTTGTTCTTTTTATTGTTCTTATTCATGGGTCAGTGCTCTCAACTGCTTCAGTTGATGTCGAAAATGCACATTCCATTGGTAAGTCGGAAATTGTGGCGGATAAAAGCCGGTTGGGCAAATCAGAAGGTTTTCAGGGTCAGTCTTTGGTAGAACTTAAAGAGGAAATAAGTTCTGAAACGCAAAACTCTGAACCACCAAAATCTGAAGCCAAGATCGTTAACGAAAGTGAAGGAAGAAAGAGAAACGAAGAGGCAATAGCAAAAGTTACAAACTGGAGCACAGGTGAAAACTCTACTTCTACTACTACTATGACTACTCCCTTAAAGAATCTGGCAAAATATTCGAATCCTACAGAGTTATCGAAGAATGTGATCCGAAAAGACGAGGTTGTCGAGAAAAGTAGAGAAGCTGAAAAATCAAATTTGACATCGGAAACTCCTTCTCCACCGAAATACATTGGTGACGGGAAGAAGGTTAGAAAGAAAGGCAAGGGAAGAGGGTCGTGGATACCATTTGGGTGCTGTTCTTCAGTAAATGTGAACTAGAAAGTTGTTACAGATGCCATCTGGTTGATTTGGTTACATTTGGTTTTAGATTTTACAGAAGGTTGGAACTGTTTTATAGATAGAAGCAGCAGCTGGTAAAAAAAACATAAAGTGTCGTTTGGGTTATTGTATTCTGTGTATTTTGAGATTAAGAAAATAAGTTGTGTGTTACTTATAATTTAAATAAAGAGTATGAGAATGGTGAGAGATCAATAGCGGATGAGGTGCATAATGGATTACTCGTGCAAAATAGTTGAAGAACGATGGCATGGTTAACGGTGTAATGAAAAGATTGGGTTTTCGGTGAGAATGCGAGTTAAAGTGAGAAACTTAAGAAGGGATCTCTTTTTTAGATGTACGTTAGGATGAGATGCATCAGATTGATCCTTGTATCAAACGCGATTCATGGGTGGATTTGAGATTAAAGATGATCAAGGTTACAGATCCTTCTTACGCTTCTCATCTTAACTTTTATTCTCACACGATCATTCGCGGTACGAAAACTAATAGAGATGATATATAAATATATATATATATATATAGGTGCGTTATTATACGACCTTTTATATTTGTACAACCAATACAACATAATCTCAATCGTCCATTTAATTTGATTAATATGTGATTTCATAGAAGTTCTGATTGTTTCCTAATATAAAGTATTGATCATAATAAATGAACTCTATTCATCTTCTATAAATATTCAAATCATAATAAATAAACTCTCATCATTTCCATAAATATCTCAATTTATTGGGTTACATTGGTTGTACAAATGTGATGGGTTGTATTTGAAACAAACTCTCTCTCTCTCTCTCTCTCTCTCTCTCTCTATATATATATATATATATATATATATAGAGAGAGAGAGAGAGGCGGGATCAAATGAAAACCGTCTAATTCTTAGAAACCGTGTAAACTAATTTCGACCAATAGAAAAATTCTTTTTTTCTTAATTAAATTTAATCATTAAGGGTAGATTTGTCATTTATATTGTTTTCTATTAAATATGGAAGTTATTAATAAATCTTAATTAAGATAACATAATAAAAAAAATAAATGGTAATATTTAAATGTTTATTTAAATTAGAATTTTAAAAATTGAATATTGTTATTTGGTTTCTCGATTTATTAGTGGTAATAATATGAAAATCGAAAATTATTATATTCATTAATACACGAAATCAGTAACAGATCCAAACAAAGATTCATGAACCGGTAAAAATATAATCAACTGTAAAACAGATTCATGTTAGATTTGTTCATGAAAACGTTCATTAAAGAGCTTGTTTTATGAAACTTTTGGGGATGAACTGGTTGTGTAATATAATATTCTTGCATAATCTTGTTTTCTTATCAACAATTATTGATGAAATTGTTTCATTTTTTTTTATGATTTTGTTCACTTAATGGTTAACAAAGCATGTAATGGTAAATGCATTGACTCTATGAAACGTGTTCGTATTGGAAGAAATTGGCTGATGAAATGGGTGCATGAAGAAAGTGAAACCATTTCATAATTGATAAAAAAATGTTGTGTAACTAGCGAACAGTGAAACAATTTCATTATTACGATGAAACGGATCCATCTACCAATAACATGAACATGACAAATGTCTCATCAGACAGTACGTTGATTAGTATATTGATGAAACCGTACAACCATTTCGATGAAATGGGTGCATAACGACAGAGAAACCATTTCATAATTGTTAAGAACATGTTGTTTAATTAGCAAACAGTGAAACCATTTCATAATTAGATTGAAAAACATCCATCTACCGGAAACTTGAAAATGACAAATGTCTCATCTAGCATTACGTTGATTTATGTATTGATAAAATTGTGAAACCATTTCGTTCATGAAATGTAGTAGTAAATTTTTTTTATTATTATTCAAAATGTTTCATTATGTTAAATTGATTATAATGTATTTTATTTTTATTGTTGATCTATTTTAATGATGGATGTTATTTTTTTATAATATTTAAACATAAATTAATATATTATTTTACAAATGATTTTGTTTCTTTAGTACTACCATATACATGATATGGTTGCCATTAATATTACCACTACCAAAGTTGCCATTTTGCCATTTTGCCATTTTTGGGATTATATAATTATTTTTTATTTTTTATTAATTTCTTAATATAACCTAAACTAATCTTGACCATTGATCAAAAAAATGGATGGATGAGAATGGTTTACATGGTTTACACAAATGAGGGCGATTTTCATTTATGTATATAGGGAAGGGTTCAAACGAGAACCTCTGTGATTTATGAGAACGCGAGAACAACCCAATAACCTCATATTGTGATAAAAAATAAATTTAAAAGATTTTAAAAATTAAAATTGAAATTTAAAAAGATTAAAAAAATATTAAAATTAAAAGGGTAATAATGGAAATGATATCATAAAATCTTTTAACACGATTATACGATCATGATTATCATTATCTAATAAACGGTTAAAAATTCAATGAGACTTAGAAGTCGTAACATCAAATCGCAAAACAACAGTGATCGACCAAGAACACACGAACCCTAATCGATCAAGAACTCTAATCGATCAAAGAGAAGCTATTGCATGCAACAATCGAACAACAAGAAGAAGTTTATTCAAGGTATCTTTCACAATTACTCGTTTTGAACATGTTTTTAATCGATTAGTTGTGATAATCATGTGATATCAATGTCACTCAAATTGATCATGGTTTCAATGGGTTATGTTAGATATTATCACAACGATTTCGGATGGTTTCGATAGGTTAGGATTAGACTAAGTGTGATAATCATGTGATATGGGTGTGATAATCATGTGATTATCAAACAATTATCACATTATTGCTTATATNGTGTGATAATCATGTGATTATCAAACAATTATCACATTATTGCTTATATCAACACGATTTGGTGTGATATGGGTGTGATAATCATGTGATTATCACACAATTATCACATTATCGCTTATATCAACACGATTTGGTGTGATATGGGTGTGATAATCATGTGATTATCACACAATTATCATAAGGATTCCGCTCGACTAGGGTTAACTTAGAAAATCGACTACCGATTTAGTGTGATATGGGTGTGATAATCATGTGATATCACTATCATAATAGCGCACTCGATTTGATCATGGTTTCGATCGATTAGGGTTAGACAATCACACATTTATCACAACGATTACTCATRRTTTCGATAGGTTAGGATTAGACAATCACACATTTATCACAACGATTACAAACGAAATCCACTAAACGATTTGGTGTGATATGGGTGTGATAATCATGTGATATCACTATCATAACAGTGCACTTGATTTGATCATGGTTTCGATCGGTTAGGGTTAGACAATCACACATTTATCACAACGATTACTCATGATTTCGATAGGTTATGGTTACACTCGATTGATCATGGTTTCGATAGGTTATGGTTACAAAATCACACAATATCACAAGGGAAGAGAAGAAAGTGGAAACGAACGTGATCAATCTAGGAAAAAAAAGGGATAATTATAATTATTAAAATAAAATAAAAATTACTAAATTACATTATTGCCCTTATTAATTTATTTATGTTTAATATAAGTTAATTTATTAATTAAAAAAGTTTGAGGTTATTAGGTTGTTCTCACGTTCTCGTAAATTATAGGGGTTCTTGTTTCAACCTCCACCCAGGGTCGGCCCTGGCCATAGGCCCAAGGGGCGACGGCCCAGGGCAGCATGAAGCCCAAGGGCATCAAATTTCGAAAGGCCCAATGTGTGTATATATATATATATATATATATAGGTTCAGTTTTATTTTGGGCCTAAAATAAGTTATCGTTACCACTTAGGAGGAGAGGCAGTCCACGTCCACGGTCCATCATCTCTAGTTCTCGCCTAACCTCGCGTCGCCTAACCTCGTTGTCACCTGTCGCTCAAACTCTCTAGCTTTTTGCCTGACTCTCGACTCGACTATTGACTCTGTCGCTCCGACTACCGTCGGTCTGTGGCTGCCGGCTGTCCTCTCTCGTCTACGGCTGGTCGGTCGGATGCCTGCCTGCGTGACTTGCTTCTCTCGTCGCTCTCTGGCTTTGTTGTCTGCGACTCTGCCTCTCGCTCTCGGCCTCTCGCTCTACTATAAAGAACAGAGGTTAGCACTTAGCCACTTACTCACTTAGCAAGTCTGCCTTCTGGTTAGGTTAGGGAATAATAGTCGAATATGGACACTTAAGTATTAGGATTATTTTATATTTTAATTACTTATTTACTTATTTACTTATTTACTTTACTAATTTTATTTTTTTTGTTTCTAATTCTTGTTAATTGTTTGATTATAAAACCTAATTCTTGTTTTATATTCTAATTTTATTTTTTACTCTACTGTTGAGGTTAATTGTTAGCACTTATTTACTCACTGTGGTCTGTGGAATTAGAAACAAATGACAACCATTTGGCATTTGTTAATTTTAGGGTTGTTTTACTGTTTAGATTGATGCTTAATTGCTTATGTTTTCTCCTTTATCAATTTGTCCAGGTTGCTTAATTGTTCCACTTTCTTGGCAATTTCACAACACGAACCACGAAGGACCAAATCCAGGTGTTATCTTTCTATTCTTTATATCGTATAACAATTTAACTACTTAAGTTATGTTGCCTCGATCATAACCATCGGGTGCTCAAAATAGGAAAAGAAAGAAAATGCAAGAAGAAATTGCTCAATCTTTGCAAGGAGCTTTAAATAAGTTTATTGTTAGACAACCAAATGTTTCTGAAAATGCTAGTGATAAAAATGAAAATGCGTGTGATGCAAATGCTTGTGATACAAATGCTTGTGATGCAAATGCTTGTGATACAAATACTTTTGATGCAAATGCTTGTGATACAATGCTTTTGATGTAAATGCTTGTGATACAAATGCTTTTGATGCAAATGAAAATGTTAGTGATGAAATTGTTTGTGCTTGTGATGATGCTTCTAAAGATATTCGTTTGAATATATTTGATCCAAGATTTTGGGATATGCTAAATTCTAAAATGAAAGATTTGCTTGTTGAAAAAAGGCCTATTAGGGAAACTAACATCAATTTCCCTAGAGATAATATAGGTAGACACTTCTCTGATGAATTTTATGTTCGTAAGTTACGCAATGATGATTGTCATGATAGAAAGTGGT